CCCCTCCCCCTCCCCCTCCCCCTTTCCGTCTTCTCCTTCCATCATGGTACGCCTCCGCAGCGACGAAGGCGCTCACCCCCGATCCCACGGCATGTCCCACGGTCGCCGTGCGGCGGCCCGCACTGAGCAGTCGAGCCCCTCCCCTGGCGACCATGCCTCCCGAAGGTTCGCCTCCCGGAAGGCTGTGGCCCCGCTGAAGTGCGTCTTCTCGGCCACGCCCACGCCTCACGGCAAGATCCAGCTCATGCCGCTGGCCACCAAACTGGGGCTCCTGGACGCGGCCACCGCTCGCAAGAAAGAGCTTGCCACCTCCTATGGCATGTTGGCCGCCGAGAGTATGTGACCATTTGCGGGCGCTCCCTGAAGCGAGGGCTTTCCCCCGGGCTGATCATGCCTCTGACTCCTCTCGATATTCCCCCCCCCCCCCCCACACACACACACACATACATATACGCATGCATGCACATACGCACAGTCCAAGCCACCCGCGATGCCGGCTTCGATATGGGCAAGCTCGACGCGGTCAGCTACTATTACCACTACAGCCCACTCCTCCAGGAGCAGGCCTCCTTCCTGGCCCTGCTGGCCCTGCTGGTGGCCTTCGGCGTGTGGACGCCCCAACGGATGGACGAGTTCAACAACGCCCTCTTCGACCTGGATGTCAAGCTGGACAGCCGGTTTGCCTCCATCACCGACCGCTTCCGCCGAACCGGGCTCCTGTCCGGGGAGATCGCCTCCGTGGTCGGGGGCTCGCAGGCCATTGAGCCGTTCATGTTTGTATCTACGCTGACTGCCAACCGGCAGAACTTCGTCTCGCACGGTGCGTGCACCACGCCACGCCACGCCACGCCACGCACGTAGTTAGACAACTCGTTGTTGGGACTGCCGCTGAACACGGGAATCTCCCTGCTCTCCCTTCGCTCGGCTCCCTTTTGATACTCACACACACCTCCCCACCCCATACCAGCCGTCAAACTGGGCTCCCTGCCCTATTTTACCTTCTCCCTGAGCAAGGAGGTGCGCTCCCTCCAAAAGGACCGCTTCTCCATCAGCAACTGGCGCAAAACCCATACCCCCCTGCCCGGGGTGAATGTGCTCGAGGCGCACCCCTGCACCGCGGCCTGGTCCGGGGTCCTGGCACGCATCCTGGAAGTGCGCCCTGGCCGGCCGGCCCCAGTGGTCTCCGGGCCGCTGTACCCGATGTACACCCGACCGGCCGGGGCGCGCGTGGTGTGGGTCAACTCCCCGGCCATGGCCGATCTCTTTGTGCACATGCTCCACGCGTCGGCCGGCGTGTCTGGCCTGGACACCGAGTCCTTCCCCAGCGGCACGCATGTGTCCTTCCCGGTGGTGCCGCACCTGGTGCAAGTGTGCCTGACCCCGGTGAAGCCGAACACCATGGACTCCCTGGCCGACATCAATGCGGCCCTCGATCAGTCGGTCATCTTCCTGATGGACACCCTCCGCCACCTGGACCTGGCCAAGCGCTGCCTCGGGGAGTACCTCCGCGCGGCCGGGCCGGCCAGGCGCTGGACCAACTTGGTGTACGGCCGGTCCAGTGACGTGCCCCCGACGGCCGCGCTGGCCGGCTTGGCCGGCAAGGCGCTTGTGCCCTTTGTCGACCTGTCCGAGACCCCGGCCGACAGGGGGGAGAGCCCCGAGCGCCGGGGCACCGAAGCCTCCCCCTCCTCCTCCTCCTCCTCCCTCCCATCCGATGAGGATGCCGACAGCGGGGAGAAGCCCGACCAAGCGGATGACCAGGCGTCAGCCTCCCCATCGGCGACCACCAGCCCGGTCTACAGCCACGATGGTCGGCCGGCCGTCATCCCGGCCAACTATGCCGGGCACCCGCACAAGGTGCCGGCCATGCCTAGCAAGAGCTCCGGCCTGCGGAACATGGTCTTCGACAAAGGCACCACCGGCGGCCTGAAGGGCCTGGTCGTGCACTGCTTCGGCGTCCGGCTCGACAATTCCTGGACCATGAGCGACTGGTCGGTCGGCGAGGAAGGCATGACCCCGGGGCAGCTGGAGTACGCCGTCAATGATGCCGTTGTCCTGGTGGAGCTCTTCCTCCGGTATGGCTTCTACTTCGGCCAGCAAATGTCCGAGGCTGGCGCCGAGACCGAGGCGGAACTGCATTAGCGGGTCCTTTTTTTTTTTTTTTTTTTTTTTTTTCCTCCCCTTTCCCATCTGCTCCTGTGTATGTACGCGGCCATGCGCTCGCGTGCTTCCGAGAGGCAAAATACACTCGGCAGCTACCAAGTCATTTGGCGCCGCGCGCGGACGCCCAGGGCCGGGGGGGGCGGGGCAGAGAGATGGAGAGGTGGACACGGGGGGGGCCCGCAGAAGATACCACGGACGGTCACGGCGTGGGGGCCCCCCTGCGCCGGTTACATTTAGGGATGCGAACGTGTCGGCGGGGGGGGGGGGGGAGAGAGCATTCGGGGCCCCGGGTTCCGGCTCGCGGCAGGGGAAAGGGGAAAGCAAGCGTGTATTGACGCGCGCGGGCGCGGCGGCGGCGGCGGAAGAGAAAAGTGTGGGGGGGGGGGGGGGGGGGGGGGGGGGGGGGGGGGGGAAAATGGCCGGAGGGGAACATGACAGCAACGAACGAGCTTCAGATGTGGGCGGGATTATGGTCAATGAGCAAGGTGACACCGTATCTCGATCACTTTGCCCGC